TGGCGAGACCGAGGTCACCGCGGTAACACAGCAGGAATGTTTCCACTCCAGCAGGCTTTGCCGGCCTGTCCTGGCGCCGGGCGCGACGCCAGAGGCTCGGCAGGGCCTTTCCCGAACCGCTTCATCCCTGCGGTGCCTTCCCGGAGCGCGGCCGAGCCCCGTCCCCCTCTCGGTGTAAATACCTGTACAAAGAACCGACCAATAAAGCGCTGAACGAATGCCTGTGCCTCCCGCCTCTCATTGCCCAGCGGCGCTACGGCCACCAACCCCGCTGCCCCTCCCTCCTTTTCCCATTCCCGGGGCTCCTTTCCCATTCCCGGGGCTCCTTTCCCTTTCTCTGGGTTCCGTTCCCGGTCCGGTCCCTCCCGGTGCCCACGTGGATCCCCGCAGTCCCCATCGCGCCGGAAGTGACGCGCATCGGCTGAGCCGAGGCGGTGCCGGTGGCGGCGAGGCGGCAGCATGGTGATGGCGGCGGCGGGCGCGCACCGGCCCGGGCCGCTCAAGCAGCAGAACAAGGCTCACAAAGGCGGCAAGCACAGCGGCTCCTCGCAGCGCCGCGCTGGAGGTGAGGCGGGACGGGCTCCCCGCCTGTTCCCCGCCGCTCTCGGCCAGCCCTGACCGTTCTCTTTCCGTTCCCCCCCCTCCCAGGCCGCGTCCCCGTCAAGGCCCAGCCCCGCCGGCGGCTCCGCGACCTGAACAGGGTGGACCGGCGGCATCAGGCGCTGCAGCTGCGCCGGCAGCGCAAGGAGGCGGTGAGGCACCGGGGGAACAGGGCCGGTTGTTGCGGGGCAGCGGGAAAGGGCTCGGTTCGAGTCTCTACCGGAGGGGCTTGGATTGGGGCCGGGGGGTGCGGATGGGGGCTGTGCGGCCGGGCCAGTTCGGGACTTTGCGGGGGAACGAGCGGGAGCCGGGCCCGGTTGGGTTTGGGTCGAACGGAGCGTTACGGACCGGGTGCGTTCGGGCTGCGGTGTGGGGGAGCCTGGCCTGGTCCGGGGGCGGGAGAGAAGCCGCGCTCGGGTTGGCATTCGAGCCCTGCCCGTGTGCCCCCAGGTGCTGGCGGAGAAGCGCAGCCTCGGCAGCAGGGACGGGCCCCCGCACCTCGTGGTTGTGGTGCTGCTGCACAGCAGGGCTGCGGCCCAGGACTCGCTGCGGCTGCTGCAGAGCCAGGACTCAGCCACTGTCCGTGCGGATGAGGGCGGAGCTGGCGGCTTTGCCCTGCTCTGCCCGCGGCTCAAGCAGCGCTGGCGCTTTGTCACAGCCCAGGCAGGTGAGGAGGCGCCGCTGTGGGTTGGGTTCTTGGTTCTGGTGCCTCTGGCAGCCCCACTAACGGAGGTGTGTTGGGTGCAGGGGATCTCCACGCTGTTCTAGACCTTGCCAAGGTTGCTGACTCCCTGCTCTTCATCCTGGACCCTGTGGATGGCTGGGACAGTGAAGGGGAGCACTGCCTCTCCTGCCTCTTCGCACAGGGGCTGCCCAGTTATGGTGAGAAATGTTTTGGGTTTCTGTGGGTGCTTCATGGACATTGAGTGTCACAATAATTAAATTTCAGGGCTCTGCCACCTCCAGTGGGAATAATATTTTTCTTTTGTTGAGGTGGAAGTTCTTTCAGTTTATTGCCATTGCTCCCTGTCCTGTTGGGCACCACTGAAACCAGTGAAACTCCCTTTGTACCTTGTGGTGCAAATCTGGCCATTTGGGCTGCTGATATCCAAATATTTGCCTGTGTTTGGTAAAAAGAACAGCAGAAGGTTTAGGATTTGATCCGAGCTCTGTTCTCTGCTCGCCAGCTCTGGCTGTCCCGGGAGGCACTGACCTGCCCCCTAAGAAGAGGATAGATGCCAGGAAGAAACTCTCCAAGTGCATTGAGAAGCGTTTTCCCGAGGCCAAGCTGTTCCCACTGAACACAGAGCAGGAATCCTCTCTGCTCCTGAGGCACCTGAGCTCCCAGAAGCAGAGGCACCTGGCCTTCCGTGCCCGCCGCGCTCACCTGCTGGCCCACATGGCTGAGTTTGTGCCCAGCCAGGACAGTGACCTGGTGGGGACCCTGAAGGTGTCAGGCTTTGTCCGGGGACAGACCCTCAACGTGAACAGTCTGGTGCACATTGTGGGGCACGGGGATTTCCAGCTGAGCCAGGTGGATGCTCCCCCTGACCCGCTCTCTTTGAACCCACGTGTGGTTAAAGGACAGAAGAGGAGTCAGCAGGACATGGAGGTTCAGGTGTGTGGGGTGAGAGCTTTGTCAGTCCTTTTAGAACACAAGGTTTCTAAAGTTTCATTGGGGGAAATAGACCTGTGGGAAATATGTGGGTGAGGAGAGGGGAAAGGGGGTTTTGTCTGTGCCCTGGTGCTGGGCTGAGGTTCTGTGCCTGGAGTGTGTAATGAAAGTTTTGTCACAACATCATGAAGGGAGTTTGACCTGAGGCTGTCTGCAAGCTTCAGTTGGGTGTGCTCAGATCTAGGAGCTCTGCTTTTCCCCTTCAGGATGACTCTGGAAATGGTGCTGTGGAGATGGAGGAAGATGTCAAGGTGCTGATGAAGGCAGATCCAAGCAAGCAGGAGTCTCTGCAGTCAGAAGTGGTTCCTGATCCCATGGAAGGGGAGCAGACGTGGCCCACTGAGGAAGAGCTGCAGGAAGCAGAGGGTGAGCAGAAGCAATAGCTCTGTATCTCTTCCCTGTCCCTCTTAGGAGGGTTGTTAGAAACTTCTGTCACCAGGGTGGCTGTGAAGAAGCATCTCAGTTGGGATGGCTTCCATCCCCAGTCCCATCAGGTGGTTTTGCCTGGCAAGTTAGCAGGTTTTGGCTGTCCTGACAAATTCTGTGCTGGGAAAAAAGCAATTCTAGTCTAGATCTGGTTTTGGCTGTCTTGGTGTAAATGTTGCTGAGGCAAAGGAGAACTGTTCCTGTATTAATCACTGGTGGGACTCCTACAGATTCTCTGAAGGCAAACAGGAGGGTGGTGAAGGTCCCCAAAGGCACATCCAAGTACCAGGCTGCCTGGATTGTGGATGATGGAGAAGAAGGCAGCGAGAAAGATGATGATGATGATGATGAAGATGATGACATGGATGATGATCTGATGGAAGAGGCAGTTTCTCAGGTACCTCCAAGAGCTGATAGTACAGGTGCTCTCCAGGCCATTATTGCATGTTCTAGGAAGATTCTGTCCTATGCAAGGGTATGGTGCAGAGCCAGGACTTGCCTGGATCTCCACTGCTAAATCCCTGCATATATCACATTTCTTCTTTGGCCTATTAGACCCCAAAATGATGGGCTGGGGTCCCAAAGCCCACAGTGTGAGCACACCCAGGGTGCCAGAGCTGCATGCACAGCTCTGAGTGCTCACAGGCTCTGTGCTGCCCTGTGCCAGGAGGGGGAGAGCAGTGAGGAGGAGGAGGCTGGGGAGGAGGAGAGCGAGACCATGACCGTGTCCGAGTGCCTGCGGGATGAGCAGTACGACGAGAAGATGGAGGAGGATGAGCAGATGCTGGAGAGATACAAGCAGGAGAGGATGGATGAGATGTTTCCAGATGAGGTGGACACGCCACGGGATGTTCCTGCCAGAGTCAGGTAAGAGATGGGATGCTTTGCTGGGAGAGGAGCTGGAAAGTGCCTTTCTGTTTCATTTGGTGAGGAAGCCTGTGATGTCTTAGCCGTGGTGTCTGAACCTGGCTGAAGGACTCTTGTGAAGACTCTTTTTGGCTCTGAGGCTTCCATAGCATGCATTAGTTGGCAGGGAGAGCTGGATCCAGACCTGGGAGAAAGAGGGGGATGGCCCTGAGGCAAGCACAGGTTGTTTGGGGATTTGGTTGCTGGTTTTAGCTCTCTTTGCACTGACACTTTCCTGAGGGCTAATGTTTGCTTTGCACCCTCTGTCCTGGTGTGTGAGACCCTGCAGACCACAGCTGGTGGTGAAGGATGGGATTCACCTCAATTGTTTAAGTAATTTGTCTTTCCTGCTCTCTGTTCTCAAGGTTCCAGAAGTACAGGGGGCTGAAAAGCTTCAGGACTTCTCCTTGGGACCCCAAAGAGAATCTTCCAAGGGATTATGCCAGGATCTTCCAGTTCCAGGACTTCTCCCGAACCAGAAAGAACCTCTTCAGGCAAATAGAGAAGGAGGAGACTGAGGGAGCCTCGGTAATTCCTTTTTATTGATCCCTTTCCTATTATGTTCCTCTGCTCCCAATAGGAGTGACTCATCAGGGAGGTGGTTGGGTCGATCTTTGAGCCAGCTGGTTCTTACCGTGAAGCCCTAAGTTCAGACAATTTTCTCCTGGATTCCCTCCCTAATCCAGGCACATCTTCTGACACATTTTTTCTGTTGAGAGACGTGTTCACAACTGTTCCTGTCTTGGCAGGTGGGCTGGTACGTTACACTTCATGTCTGCAATGTCCCTGTCTCTGTGATGGAGAGCTTCAAGGAGGGGAAACCCCTGGTGCTGTTCTCACTGCTTCCCCACGAACAAAAGGTGAACACAAGGAATATACCCTGGAGGGATGTGCAGCTCCCTGTTCCTTCAGGCTGCATGGCCTGGGGAGGCTCTGGCTGCAGAGGGTTTGGGCTGAAATCTCCCCACATTGCTCCTGTTTCAGAGGGTCTGGCTGCAGAGGGTTTGGGCTGAAATCTCCCCACATTGCTCCCGTTTCAGAGCAGGTTGGAGCACGCAAAAACTGCTGGGGGGCACATTAGGAGAAAGTGTCTGAGCCTGACACTGGTGACCAGTGACCTTTTGGGACCCCATTTTCCAGGACATTAATCTCTGCTGCAATGTCCTGTTGCTTTCTGCTGCCCTTCATCCCCTGACTGTGCTGTCTCTTGCAGATGTCCGTGTTGAACTTCCTGGTGCGTCGGCATCCAGGCAACAGCGAGCCAGTGAGGGCCAAGGAGGAGCTGATCTTCCACTGCGGCTTCAGGCGCTTCCGAGCATCCCCCCTGTTCTCCCAGCACACCTCAGGTTTGTCAGGGACTGGGTACAGCAGCAGTGGGGCTGGGAATTCTGGAGCAGGAAGCCTGTGATGTCTTAGCCGTGGTGTCTGAACCTGGCTGAAGGATTCTTGTGAAGACTCTCTTTGGCTCTGAGGCTTCCAGGCATTAAACCATGGGGAGTAGAATGGCTTGGAAAAGGTGGTTCACTCATCCAGGCAAGGTCCAGGTTCCATGCCAGAGGATCACCTTCATTCCCATATACTCAGTGCCAGCAGAGGAGGGGTGTTTGTTGAACAGGGAACAATGAACTCTGGGGTTTCCCACAGCTCTGAGGGCGTCAACTTGATAATTTCTGTTCTGTCCTAGCTGATAAGCACAAGCTGGAGCGTTTCCTGCGCCCAGATGCTGCCCTGGTGGTGACTGTCTATGCTCCCATCACTTTCCCTCCTGCCTCAGTGCTGGTTTTTAAACAGAGAAATAATGGTGAGTTAATAAATGCTGAGGAGGTGATGTCTGGGAAACAAACTGTCCCCAAACCCTGCTTACAAGTCCATCTCTCCAGAAAGCATGACTTAAAAAAGCTGTTCCCTTCCTGCTGTTTGAGATGAGCTCCTCTCCCTCCCTGTTTTCACTTATCTGGGCCTGCAGCCCTTTGGGGAAGGGGGTTGTGGTGGGGAGGGGGTGATGCAGGCACCTGCCCTGGTGCAATGGTGACTCTGCCTGGCAGGAATGCACGACCTCATTGCCACGGGCTCCCTGCTCTCCGTGGACCCCGACAGGATCGTCATCAAGCGCCTGGTGCTCAGTGGCCACCCCTTCAAGATCTTCACCAAGATGGCTGTGGTTCGATACATGTTCTTCAACAGAGGTACAGCTGGTCTCTGGTGGGAGGAGGCGTTCTGGGAGTTCTGTCCCTGTGCTTGTGTTGGTGCAGCACAGCCTGTTCCTTACCTGCCTTTTGTGTTTCCATCTCCAGAGGATGTGATGTGGTTCAAGCCCGTGGAGCTGAGGACAAAGTGGGGACGCAGAGGGCACATCAAGGAGCCATTAGGTAGGTTTGATTTGGTGTTTATCTCTGTGTTCTGACATGGTGTGATCCTCCTGTGCCTGAAAGACTGCTAATGGCCTCTTCTGCCCTCTGCCTAGGGACCCATGGGCACATGAAGTGCCACTTTGATGGGCAGCTCAAGTCCCAGGACACGGTGCTGCTGAACCTCTACAAGCGCGTTTTTCCCAAATGGACTTATGACCCTCATGTCCCAGAGCCTGTGCCGTGGGTGAGGAGTGAGAGTGCTCTGCCAGAGCAGGAGGTGGAGATGGAATGAGTCTCCAGCACGGCTGGAGTTTGTGCCTTGGCTCCCTGGATGCTGTTCTTGGCCCGTGCAGTGTGAGGACAGCACTGATGCCTTGGACGTGTTACTGCTGGGGTCTGTACAGGGGCAGCTGCGTGGCCAGCTGCTGCTCAGGTACCAGCTATAGCTATTTATTTTAATGGAAAATGTCAAAAATGCCTCAATGCCTCTGTCGTGGTGGTGGCCAGGAGGCTGTGAGCACCCCTTGTCCACTGACCCCACTGGGATTGTTTCAGTCCCTCGTGCCCTGCCACATGGGGTGAGGGGGATTGTGCTGTGTGGAGGAGTTTGCTGGCAGTTCCTGTGCTGCTGAGAAAGAAGAGCCAAGTAGCAGCTGGGGAGGGTGACTGAGTGCAGCTCTCTGGAGGCCTGGGCCAGAGCAAGGCAGCTGGGGAGAGGAGAACAGGCAGTGCTTTGTTTCCAGGCTCCCCACAGAGACCAATGCCAGCTCCCCTTGTCCCTCCACAAAAAACTCCCAAACATTTGGACTCGATCTGTTTTTAGTAGCGCACAAACCACCGCACAAATCCAGAGTGAGCTTTTCATTCCTTGAAACACCACTCCATCCTCATTCTGCTTTCCCAGAGAGCTCTGTGAGCCAGGTCAGGGATCTCAGGTCCACATTTCCCCCACACAGCACGATGCAAACGTTCTGCACGTCCCGGGGGAGTGCCTGGAACTGCTCCGAGAGCACAGCCGCCAGTCCCACGCCTGCTGTTGGCTCAATCAGCAGCTTCATCCTTTCCCACACCAGCCACGTGGCTCGCTGTGGGGACAGGGCAGCAGCAGCTGTCAGCCCAGCAGCCAGCACAGGCTGCTCCAGGGCATCCCTGCAGCACTCTGGGAAGGGAGGGCAGAGCTCCCAACAGCCCTTTCCAGCTGGAGACAGCGTGGGTGTCACAGCTGCAGTGGTGCACAGGGGGTTTGTGCTGCTCTGGGAATGTGCTGGGGTGAGCAGAGGGGCAGGGCAGGGCTTGGAGGCAGCTGCCTGCTGGCAGCTACCATGAGAAGGGAGCTGGGAGCCCCTTTACCTTGATTTCTTCCTCTGAGACTGTCAGGACATCATCAACCAAGTCCCTGATGATGGGCCACGTGTTGGGCCCGATGCTGGTTTTTACCGCATCTGCGATGGTGTCCCGCGGGTGGAGGTTGGGGGTCAGCTCCCCTGGGAGCTTGGACTGGTAACAGTCATCCACATTGCTTGGCTCAGCAGCAAACACCTTCACATCTGGCCTCAAAGCCTGGGGAGAGCAGGAGGAGCCACTGGGGTGACACCAGTGTGTGCCTGTCCCCTGTTTCTGTGTGTGCAGGGGGTAAGCAGGCCCTGCTGCTGCTGCCATGCAGACCCCAGGCAGTCAGTGTCTTTCACTGCAGGGTCTTTGTGTTTCTAAAGTTAAAAGCTGCTGCCTGCCTTGAGAGTCCTGCCCTTCCCACAGGGAGATTCCTGGATAAGCTATTACCTACCTTGATGGCGACTGCTATTCCTGCAACCATTCCTCCACCTCCAACAGGAACCACCACTGCATTTACCTGGGGTGCCTGTGCAGAAAGGAAGTGTGAGGGCTTCTGACACTTTGTGTGCCCCTTTTTGCTGTGCCCCTGCACGGGCTGGGCTCTGCATTTCCCTCACCTGCTCCAGCACCTCCAGGGCAATGGTGCCTTGCCCTGCAATCACTGCCGGGTCCTGGTTGGGGTGCACCAGGACTCCTCCTGTCTCCTGGACTACACTGGATGCTGTCTCTGCTCTGGACTAAGGGAAAGCACAGCAGTCACCTCTCTCTGCCTGGGAAGTGCCCCTGACCCATCTCCCTGTGCCTTACCTTGTCACCGGGCTCACATGGCACCAGTATGGCACCATAGGCACGAATGGCATCTTGCTTACACTGTGGGGCAGTCCTGGGCACCACGATGTAGGCAGGAATCCCTGTGGCATGAGAGGAGTCAATCCAACAGCCCAAAAGCCACAGCAGCCCGTTCAAACTGCAGGAGCAGGCAATGCCTTGCCTATGCCAGCTCCTGCATGGGTTCAGGAGAGGGATCTCCATCTTCTCCAACTGGACCAGCTCTGTATTTACCCCGTGCCTGCCTCTGGGAGCTGGGTGGGAGGTCGGGGTACGGGTTACCTTCTGCCTGGGCAGCACAGGCGAGTGCCTGCCCGTGGTTGCCGCTGCTGTGTGTGACCACAGCGCGGGGCA